AAAGAAATGTCTGATCTTTGGGGGTTGTTTATGGCTTCTTGTTAGTTACCCTGTTTCCTCTTTCGGTGTGGACAATCAAAACTGCACAATGCAGCCAAATAGAGTATTCTTTCTTTTGCTGTGATTTACAGTAGAAATTTTGCCATGATGTGATGTGTGATATGGGAAATAGAGAAAGGAGGGTGTCACATCATTTCCAGTGTAATGATGGGGTTTGGGGACACTCCCCAGGGCCAACTGCAATTTGGTGCCATCTGGTGGCTGTTGTCAGCTCCCCTCCTGGATCAGTAGGGATAACTGAGTACTTAGATCAATGGGGACCTGCAGGACTGCAGCGGCAATGCTAGAAATCCACTAGGGTTAGACTGGACGGGGAGAATCCTGGGGACGTGTCTTTCCCAATAGGCTGGCCCAACCCCAATGCCCAAAGGAGGTAAGAATTTGAGATTGCCTCACTCGAAGAAGGGAGCTCAACAGAAGACAGGAATCACCTGCTATGGTGTTAGATTCAAGGGGCTTCATTATGAGATTTCACTGCAGTGTGGGGCTTGGCACAAATCTGCCACAGTTATCAGAGTTACACTCAAAGAAGCACCACCCATCAATTATCAAGTAGAAATCTAAAAGGAATTCCAATCTTTAAGAATGCCCTCTGCCAGAGAAGAAAGGACATCCAAGACACAACTCACACTTCCATAACCCCCTTCCTTCTCATGCCCCAATTCTTTCGCATACAAGGCTGCTCCAGAAATCGGACAACCAAATTCCCAATTTCTCCCAGCATCACTCTTTCCTGGTTTTGCAGGCTAAATTCTTTCTTCTCTCCTAAGATCTTTTTATTTTCCTAATTCTACTCTCATGATTCAGCACTATGAATAATTTAGAATCCGCTGGAGTCTGAGTGCCCAGAGGGGTGCAGTAGAGTGAGGTTCAAGGAGATGAAAACACAAGTAAATAAATCTTGTCTGGTCAAGACAGAAAGAGAAAATAAGTGCTTATATGCCATCAGTGAAACACTTCTTTTGTTTGAGAGTAACATTCTCAAAACAGTGATTAAAAAAAGCAAGTGCTCCTTTTATTCAATTGGAACTTTAAAAAGAAAAGATATGGTACTTTAACCATTATTATTGCTTTCCTTTGCTTGATGTATGTATTATATGTTCATTTCAAATAAACTGATTTTTTTCCTTATTTGGATCCCGATGGTTTACTGCCCCAGCTCAAAGTTGGCGAAAGGACTCCTATTTATAAGAAGAGTCAGCAAGAGCAGAGTTACACATTTTGATGGCATCACTTTGATTCAGAGGATACTGCAGAGCATAGAGACCAGAGACTGGCTTTTACATCAAGTTAAGAAATGATTGAAGAAGGAGGAGGGGGAGGGGTGGGGGAGGGGAGGAGGAAAAGAAGGAGAAGAAGTAAAAAAAAAAAATGAGAACAAATTCCTATCCTATTTCAGCTTCTAGCCGACGATTCAATATTGTCTCTATTTGCATGGGAAGATAATGCTAGTGTTGAAAGCCTCAGGAAGACCTGTGCCAGGAATTATTTTTTTCTGTAGTGGTGAAGGTTTTTTGAAAAAAAAATCTAGACTTTCTTATCACTCTGGTTATCTTCTGTGATCAAGAGCACACATGTGTCAGGTGGCCACAAAACAGATGTAGGCTCAAACCCACATGTTCTAGCTTCTTAATAATACATTCTGCCTGGGGCATCAGTCGGATGCTCAACCGACTGAGCTCAGCGTGGAGTCTGCTTGGCCCTCTCCTTCTACTTCTCCCCCTGCTCGCGTTGGTGCTCTCTTTCTCTCTTTAAAATAAATAAATAAAATCTTAAAAAGAGTAAGACCTTCTCATGGGCTAAGCTAATGTGTCATATACCATAAAGCTACGTTTAGGAATTATTTAGCACTTCCTTGTTACTTTTTAGAAACTCTTACAAATACAACAAGCCCATAAGTACTACAGATAAAAACCACAAAAGGACACAAAAGAATTCCAAAATATACATATACATAGAGTCGTACAGTAGTCAAACAACACCTCTTTGATATTAACAGGTTACCCTCCGACATTATTAACCACAAAGCAAGCTGCGTTGGTCTGCGTTTAGTAGTGGCTGGCTTCTACACAGAAGTCACGGTCAGAGCAATCCTGGATTTGCTGAGTTGTATCAGATGGTCTGCACTTACTGAGCTGAAGACCACCAGAGAGAGAAGGCCCGCCTCAACCCACTGTCTAGTTTCTGTGAAGGACAAAGGTCTCTTGATTTGGGTAATTTGGTCTGGCCAACAACAGTTTACAAGCCCTCGAAAGAAGATTTAAAAAATCAAATGGGGTTAAGAGTGGGGGTGCTGGAACTGGCTTTTATCAGCTTGCTAGCTAATTTTGCACATCTCTTCCCAGGTCTCTGTTTAGTGACATTTCATTGATAGCTTGAAACTGACCTTGATGTGAATATTTAACACAATGGATATTGGGAAATACTACCCCTGCCTGAGAGAGCCAGTTGTGAAGCACTTCCAGCACACCTGTATGCATAGCATGGCACTGGTCAAAGTGTGGTCCACAGACAGGTGTCAAGTCACAAACTATTTGATGAGTGTATGTTGAGATATGCCATGAAAATCGAGAGTAAACTTTTAGAAACTTTTACAGCAATTCTAAAGACTATTTCATTGGTTGAATCTAACAAAAAGAAGACCAGGGCTTGGTTTTGGGTGCCTCGTTTTTTCAATTTCCTTTATCCAGTGATTCATTTTACTGCATTTTTACCAAAATATCGATCTGCAGCAGATTGGACACCAAACAAACTGGTCCATCCCCAGAGATAGTGTGAGAAGCACTGACAGGAAACATTTGCTAATCCAGCGGCAAGGGCAGAGGTAGTGCATGTGGGATAAGAACATATGAGGGAGGTAACTTGAAACTACAGGCTATTTTAGAAAGCAAAAGGATGTGAAGAGGCCAAAAGAAAAAAAAAGAAATGTGGAAGGACATAAACTTAGGCATAGAGGGGCCAGTGCACAAATACAAGCTTGTTGTTTTAGCACCAGGTAAAGCTGCCTATTTCTAAGAGGGTGTGTCTGCGTACAAGTGTGACATCTAGAACAACCAGAGGATTGTGGTGCTGCATTTCATTCTAGGCTCTTCTCTTTAAGGGGACATTGCAGAGTGCTCCAAGGAAAGAAAAACCATATCTTAGGAGGAGTGGATTAAGGAGAAAGGATGTTTAGTTTGCAAGAGAAGGAAGACAGAAGAATTTCCAATGATTTTGAAGCCTCTTGTGTCGAGGTTGGCATGGACTAGTTTTATATAAGGCATGGTGGGAAACCACCGAGGTAAGAGCTCAGAGAGGCACTAAGAATAATTCTCTAGTTCAGTTGTTCAAAGGAGGAATATGGGGCTCTTGCCAGGTAATGAGTTTCTTGGTCTCTAGAGGTGTTAAGCACAGGCCAGCTCATCTTTTGGCTGGGAAGTTATTAAAATTGTACCACCGTGTGATCGGAGCCTGAAGTAGGTGACAAGATTTCTTTCAAATGAGCTCCTGTGGTTTTATGAATATTAATAAAAGCTAGAAAAGAATTTGAGAAGTAGAGACCCATTGAGAGTGAAGTGAAAACGCTGAAGAAGGAAGCCAAGGGAGGTTAGGGAGCGTTACCAACACGGATGTTTGGTAGCAATGACCAATATTCTGGCATCCTGGGAATGCATTTTGGCCCAGACCAGGGCAAAGCTGCGAATCAGATTGCTGCTTGGCATCAAGTAGGCCGAGAAGTGCTGAACTGACAATAGGAGGTCAGCTCCCCGCCATGATTTGCTGTGCAGGCTGGACGACTCCCCCACCAAGTGCCAGACAAACCAGCGTTCTGGCCTGAGTCGTTCACCAGGTAAAAGCACAAACCCAGGTGAAAACAAAGATGATAAGATGGAACATTAGTCCAGACTTTTTTTTTTTTTTTTAATTTTTTTAAGCTCTATACCCAACATGAGGCTTGAACTCAGGACCGCACAGATCAAGAGTCGTGTGCTCCACCAACTGAGCCAGCAGGGTGCCCCTTTAGTTCATACTCTACACGAGTACCATTAGATCAAATCACCAGAGAGTGAATCCTTACTCTGTAACACACTGTGCTAAGAATTTAATAGACATGGTCTCATGACAGAGGAAGCTATTAGTCTCCCCATTTGTCTGATGGTAAGACTGAGGCTTAGAGCAGGTAACTGAGGTCTCTGTCTTACACAGCTACTAAGTAGTGGAGTTAGCATAACTCAGAGGCCTCAATCCCAGTTCTTTTCCTTCCGCCAAACCACCTGTATTCATCCGCCCATTAAACCTTAGATTAAATACCTTATCCAGTAAAGAGTGATGCTTCCCAGGAGAAAATGCCCCCAAACGGCTCCCAACACTGTACTTTGCACCCTGCAGGAACCTGTCAAAGGCATGGAGAATGAACAAATTTGGAGTGGTCAACAAGGGGTGCACCAGCCGCATCTTTTAAAACTACTGCAAAAGTTGGCTCGGCGCTGGGCTAGGAGCCTGCTTAAGATCCTCTCTCCCCCTCTCCTTCTGCCCCTCCCACCCTTCCCAACCGCTCTATTGTGCGCGCTGTCTCTCAAAATAAAATAAAAATAAAAATACTGCAAAAAAAAAAAAAAAAAAGGAGCTCCACAAAATAACACATGGAAAAATCGCTGCCTTGTTTCAAAATATTTACAGCTGAACATCTCCAGGCCACCCGAAGTGCGGCGGTCAGTGGTCGGCTCAGAGCCGGCCCCACGGTGAGAGGGCGGGGCCCGCGCGGGGCTCCTGGGAACGCGACCCCGCTTCTCGCCTGCTCTCCGGGTTAGTGTTGGCTCCAGGGCCGTGGCTATGAGAACGGTTTCCACCAAAGCCGGCCTCCACGGAAACCACAGAGACTAGGTAACCTTTTCTCCGCCGAAGTAGAAAAAAGCACGCTTGTGTGAGCGTGTAGGGGAAGGGCAGGGAATGTGGACAGAGAGGGAGGGGTGGTGCAATAATTCTTTAGTCATAGGACTTGCCAGTTGGTAGTTACTAGTATTCCAGACACTTCCTAATGCCAGACAAATGCCCCAAGCCTCGGCTTGTCTGGCTTGGAGATCTATTCATGTGATAGCAGCCCGGCTCTTGCGGGAGACCAGATCTCGGGGGCAGCCGCCCTCCGCTGCTAATCAAACACAACATTGTTCTCCCAGGGAAGAATGGGAAGGTTTGTTTCAGAGTCACAGCTTTTTTTTTTCTCCTTTTCTAAGAGGCCCCCAAGTTGTTTTAACAAGTTGCTACAAAACTTGGGCTTTCCTGAGGTGAGGCTGTGGCGCACAGTGCCTGTACTGTACCAAAATCCAGGGAGGGAGGGTCAGAGTTACTCATTAAAAACGGGGGAAAAAAGCCCCAGGCACTTCATGCCTGGAAATGATGTAACAGGCAGCCACTCCTCTGTTAGAACTACAACCAAACAATGCTCAGGCAACGCGCGGCAGCTGCTCTCCAAACGTCAGCGCCTGCCCGGTCCAAAGAGCTTGAAAGGCACCAAGCTGGAGGGCTTCGTGCTGTACCTTTCTCGCCCACATTTCCCCCACGCCCTCCCAGGAACCTGGCAACAGGTAACGTGGCAACCTTTGCTTTATAAAATGGCAAGTGGCATCATCTCAGAGAACAAATGGATTTTTTTTAAAAAGCCAGCCGCATCTCCCCCCCCACCCCCCGCACCCATACCCCGCCCCACCCCCCAGCCAAGAAGCTGAGAGAAAGGTACTGCGGCGGGCAGCCCTGCTCTCGAGTGCCGCCTTGTGGCTAAGCTCGGAACATCACCGAGGTACCCTGAAATCCGCGGCTCAGACCCGAGGTAAGTCACGCTAGGGGAAGGGCAGGACATCTTTGCTAGACTTGTCTTCCAAAAAGACATCAAGAGCGCTAGTCAAGATTCAGAACGTCTTGCCTTTTAACTTCTCGCCTTACCAAAAATTTTACCCTAGCTGCAGCATAAGATCTCTGGGTTGAAGTTGTGTTTTTTGTTGTTGTTTTTCAGCAGCAGCTAGGGTAACATTTTCTATGGCGGCAAGTTGAAAAGCAAGAACTGCTGTAGCCGGTTGGTTAGGTGGGTGGCAGCAAGGAGTAAGAGCCAAGAAACTGAGGATTCCTGCCGGGCGGGACTTGCATTTTGCATTTTTAATCTTTATGTGATTTTGTGACTTGTATGTAGAAACCTTTCTCTGGGGCAGGAACATTTTTAATTCACATCTCTGGCTTCCAGTTAGTCTACTTGTAAGGATTATTTAGGATTCCCAGACTGCAGGCCCAGCTTCCCAGAGAGTAGGGCCTGCAGTACCAGTTTAGCTTTTATTCTCTGTGTGGGGCAAACACCCACAGAAGTGCCAAGGGCACTATTTTTAACCAGTCTTCTTTCTCTCAGGTACTCCCCCTTCTGATGTCTCTGATTTGGAGGGAAGGCTACAGTTGTGAGCTGCTGATAGCTCCCGCCAGTTGTGAGGGCATCCTTTCTTTCTCCCTCTGGAAATGTTAACTGGAAACTAAGCAAGAGGTTTAGATCAAAGTAACTGTGCTCTTCAGAAAGTTCCATTAATTAACAAAATTAAAGAAAGTTAAACGATGTTTGGAGGAAAGTCATTTTAGAAGGCCCAGGTTAGGGGACTGAGGTCTAAAACTTCTAATGTGGACTTTTAATGAAGCTTGGCAGCAAGTTAAATAATATTAGAAATTGAGGGTTACCATATGGAAAACCAATTGTTGCCTGAAATCAATCATTTCAAAGGAACATCTTGAAAGTAGACAGACATTTGGCTAGTATTTGCCTAGACCATTTAATACTAAAGATTAAAAGCCCACAGCTCTGAGTAAGAATCATTTGACCAGTAGCCACAGTGAGTCATAGCCTCCTTAAGATCTAAGCACAAATACTGAAGGCAGGATGTTGAGAACATGGGGCTTACTAATTTGCAAGGCAGGGCCATTGCTACCAGAAGGGAATGTGATCAGGATTTCACGGCTCATTTTCCCGGTCTTTCCAACAGGTGCTGTTGAGTCATCCATGTACAGAAGTGACTGCCGTGGCAGTTTCATCTGTTAGGATTAAGTTTCCATTTGTTCCATCACTTTATGAAGTGATTTCTACCATTGAGTCAGATATGTCACTTCCTCTAGGACTTAGGGATTTTTTTTCAATGTTTGTAACATTGTGTGTGTTTTTCAAAATTTGTCCCAGCCAGTCTGCAGGTTTTCCTGGATTGAATGGATTGTTTACAGGAGGGGAAGATTCAGGGCCCAAGGTCAGGGTTAGCAAATTATATAAGGTTTCCTGTTTGGGCAGTTGGTCTACCAACTCCTCAGGTTAGTGCAGACTAAGGACTACAAGGCCTGGGGTAAGGATGGTGCCAGGAGTGGGGAAGGAAATTTTTCTTTTAAGCTTCTCATCAGCTAGCTTTCATTTCTTGTCAGATGTCACTTCACAGTGATACTTTCCTATAGACTCTGTAGGTAATTTTTTTTTTCCTTGAGTAGGAATTCTGAGAAAGGAATATAGTTAAGGATGTAAGAACCAGCAGGTCAGGCATTGTCCGTTCTATTCATGATGTCTGCAGTGCTTGGAATGTGCATGGCACATGGGAGTACTGTAGTAAAGTACTTGTTACATGAAGGAATGAACAGGGATGAGAAGACATTTCCTGGAGAAAAAGAAAAAAGGACTACTAATCTGGAAAGGGAGGTCACTGGGGTAGAAGTGAAATGAATACTCGGCAAAGCCATTTTCTGTGACGTTGGATATTACAATTGAATCTCCTGTCACCGATGCCCACTTCTGTTTGGCACTGGCCAAGGGCTGGCTGAGTGCGATTGTGATTGGCCAACTTTCACCATGAGCTAGTATGCAAAAAGCCCACACTAATGCCACCTGAAAGCAGTTAGCCCTATGGATTATTCACCTAACTTCCTCCATCCTCTGTTTGGCTTTACCCACGGGCCCTCAGCAAATGGCCTCGGGAGGGGCCCATGATGCTAACTGCTCTTTTCGTGTGCATCTGCCTTTCTTTGCCCTCTTAATATTCTGCTATTCTCTGCTTGCACAAGGTGGATATCTGAGAGCCAAGAACTTTCTTTACCTCCTGGTCTTATTTCATGAGGATTGGTAGCACCTGCACAGTGGGACCTGGAGCCTAGAATAAAGGGAAAAATCTGGAGTGGAATCACACAACCAAATAGGACTCTCTTGCCATGTTGTTTGGTGTCTGGTAAACAAAGTAGAACTCAAGCCTACCTCACCCCGGGTCTGTATGGAGTAGCTGACGGTCGGTGGGAACAGGGTATCGTATTGCCAACTTGTCCTGCTTGAGAAAGTCAGTTGGCTGTGCAGTGAGTGACCTGTGTGCAAACCAGCGTGTGTCACGAGTCCAGTCAGGCTAAGTCCTGACTGGAACTTCCAGCTGGATGTGTCGGTAGCCCCTGCTCACTGTCAAGGCCTGGGCTTTGGAGAGAGGGCAGCCCTATCAGCTGCCTGCTTCTGCTGCCCTATGGACTGGGGGGTCTGCAGGGAGGGCTTGGCCTGGAGCAGAAGCTTTTGCACAAGGCAAGCTCAAATCCCCCAACCTGGGAAAACAGGATGTGTGGGGAAGTGTAGAAGAAAGAAAATGCATCCACCATTCCTTCCTGTTGGTTTCAGCACGATGAGGAGTAATTATCTGGGTCTGGAGAGCAGGGCATTTGGGAGGCCACAGGACGCCCTGGTGTGTGTAGTTAGGCAGTTAATTATTCATCCCACTCCATTCTTCTTTCCTCTCTGAAACCCCCCTTTTCAAAGGAAAAACAGGAAAACTGCCTGGGTTAATCTGTAGAACACAGTTTCTGTCAGCCAACTCGGCCCAGGAAGGAGACCAGCCCGCTACTGAGTCTCAAATAACTGAATCAGTGCTTAAAATGACACCTCCTTATCTAACTGTGTCCCTGACAGATGAGAACACAGATCCAGAGAAGGACCTGTCCAGGTGTCCCCAGGCCTGTCTATACTACGCTACAAACAGGACTTCAGTCCTCCAGTCAGTCTTTACAGTTGGTATGGAAAGGGCCTCTTAAAAATTGCATTACAAATTCTACTTTACAGTTGGGTTTTTGTCATTTGGCAAAAATTTAATAAAAATAACCTAGGAGTGGGCCCCTGTTGGTTGAGCGACTGCCTTCTGCTCCAGTCATGATCCTGGAGTCCCAGGATCGAGTCCCGCATCGGGCTCCCTGCTTGGCAGGGGGTCTGCTTCTTCCTCTGCTCTCTTCCCTCTCGTGCTCTCTGTCTCTCATTCTCTCTCTCTCAAATAAATAAAATCTTTTAAAAAAAATAACCTAGGAGACTGATGAGGCCCGCACTAAAATTGGTATCGATTTACTAGTCTACCTGCCCCCACCTCGTCCGCCTTCACTGTGTCCAAGAGAGCCAGGCGCTGTACCTAGAATCCCAATTCCGCAAGTGAGGCTGGAGAGGGTGAGCTGCCCAGGTTCTCCAGGGTGGAGTCTGGCTGGAGCCTGACTTCTTCCCACCTAAGCCTCCTTACTTAGATTTGAAATAGCTGCCTTCTAGTTTTGTCCTTAAGATTCTCCTTTGAACCCGTATGAGAATATTGGCTGTATCTCAAAGTCCTTATCTGACTCTCTTGGTTGAATGTGTTTGGAATTTAGAACTTTTTTGGATTGTAGAAAGCGAATATACCTGCCATACCCCGGGGGTCTGGGGCAGCGCCTCTGAATCACGTACTCTAACCTGTTTGTCTGCCAGAAGAGGTAGACCAGTCACACTGCAAGCAGTTCCAAGGTCAGGTTTTGGCCAATGGCTTTCAGAATTGCAGATGAAGGAATGATGTTTCCCTGCTCCTTTTGGAAGCCTTGGAGCAGTAAGTGCTCCAGCTGGGGACTTTCTCCTTCAGAGGCATCTCAGGCCCTGCCTGGAGCTGTGTCCCAACCAAGCCTATGGAAAGGATGGGGGGATGGTGGATGGGTGGGGAGGGGTGGTGGCGGACTCTGCGTTGTAGGCGGGCAAGGTTTCCCTATGTTTAAGGAAAAGAGAGATCCAAGATCAGGTTTGATGATACTCCTGACATCGTCTCTCTTTTCTTGACCATGTTGGAGTTCTGGGTGTTCATTGGTTTCACACACTGTATTCAGAAACATCTAGTTTTGATTTTTGTAAAAATGGTAATTGGGATGCTAGTAGGGGCTTTCAAGTAACCTTTCCCCACAAGGTGGAATGATGTGTACATAAACCACAGAATGGGATAGTCTTACGTGTTCTTGAAGATAAACACCTCATATTTGCAAGGTTGCGTGGATGTGTTTTCACTGGTTTTTCTGTCATTCTCTTTCTCATTCTCACCCCCTGCCCTCAGGCTATAGTTACTTCCCAGTAAAATAAATGAAACCAATGTTCTTCTTGACCCACCATAATTTGTATTCACAGGAGGGTGGCTCTGTGCTAGGTCCAGGCTGGGCACCATGCTAAGTACATGCAGCTTAGAACACTCACCTTGAAGTTTCTCTGCAAAGGCACTCTTAACTCACTGGAGCCCTACCTAATACACACAGTTTGAAAATTCTTTTTTCTTTCTTCCTTTCCTTTCCCTTTCTTTTCCTTCTTTCTTTCATTTTATGTATTTGAGAGAGAGAGCACAAGCAGGGCAGAGGGAGAAGCAGACTCCCCGCTGAGCAAGGAGCCCACATGGGGACTGGATCCCAGGACCCTGGGATCACGACCTGAGCTGAAGGCAGATGCTTAACTGACTGAGCCACCCAGGCGCCCCCAAAATTATTTTCAAAACGCACATTTTTACACCACATTTCCAACCCGATAGGAGATAATCCATGTAAGAGCTTGAATTAAAGAATAAACCGAGGGGCAGGTAAACACATTAGAGAGAACAGCAGACATACATAGATGAAGCACTAGAAATGTTCAGTATCTAAAACAAGCACTGCACTCCCTCCTGCTGTGGGTAACATTCTCCTTTTCAAAAAAGAACCAGAGAAAGTAAAGGCAAAACGATTTGATTATTTTGGATTTCTGGTCATAGGTTAAAGATTATATCAAGCCTCAATTTGAAAAGGCAACTATACCCACAGCAAATCTACCAAGCCAGAGGATGTTAATACAGTCTGGTGCAGGCTTGGGGCCGGGGTTTGTAATTTACACCGTTTGTAATTGTGATAGCAGTATGACGGCTGACATGCCAAGGTGCAGGAATGCGGAAAAACTAGAGGAAAGCAGCGCTGGTGTTTGGATTGAAAGTAACTACCAATAAAGAGCCGGGAAATGGATCACAGAGAAGGGAAGCATTTGGATGGCCACTGCTCAAAGATTCAGCCCATTTGCAGTTGCTGATACTTTGTCAGGTCTCCAGATAAAGGCAAGTCCTGTCACCCTCAGGCACCTGGCTGAGAGGTAATAAAGCAGTTGCCTTATCATCTAAGGGTGGAGTTAGTCAAACCTCCGTGGTAATTATAGTAAACTGAAATTGCCTGTCATTTACAAAAAAAAAAAAAAGGGAGAAAGGAAAAGGCTTAAGGCAGGAAACTCTCTCTCTCCTTGGATTTTAAAAGCAAGCAAGCAAAACAGCCAGGAGTTTTCCCGGGAGTGAGAAAAACAGCCTGTCCAGGCTGCCCTCTCCTGGGGGTAACAGGATTGCTGACAGCTCAGGTCCACGTGACAGTCTAGAAAAGAGGCTCAAACTGAGGAAAATCCAAGAAATCTTCTTAGGAGTCTTCCTTTCTAAATGTAAATGACTGAGTCAGGGCTTTGCTAAGGAGGGAAGGAAGTCACAATCACACCGAGTGACTCATTCAGTGCTTTTAGCTCAGGCAGTTGGATAAAAAGTTTTAGCAAAAGCAGCAACAAATCTACTTTAAATACTAGCACAGTAAGGAAATTCCTCTCTTTCAGGCTGAATGCCATCTGCACAAAAGAGCTCCTGTTGACATCTCATTTACAATCTCCCCCAGGACACAGACAAGACCGTTTCAATAAGCTCGGCTCAGAAACACCTATTGTTCGAAATCTTCAACTAGCCACAGGCTACCACCACTCCCTATTGTTTTGTAAAAGAAAAGATTTAGAAGGAGAAGGATTGCCACTGTGGAAGCTATGAAAAGGCGAAGGAAAAAAGTCCCTTTGACCCGATGCTGTCAGAGAGCGTGCATGAAGAATAAAGTTAATGGATTCCCATTTTTCTAAGAAGTGCCTAAGAAATGCCTGTTAAGTTTCTGAACTGGTGATGGGGAATTCTAAATTTGATGCCAACTTTGTGCGTAAAGAAGTGAACTCCTGCCAACGGGTTTGCTAAATGAAAAGCCATAGGCTATCCTTACCCTATTCTCAGCCCTTACAAAAGCCCTGTGCGCACCAATAGCAGAGCGCCAGGTGAGTCTTTGATCTGGGCTGTTTCCCTGGGAATTGGAGCTGGACTGTCCTTTCCAAGTAGAATTTCCAGGCTCAGAGCCCACTCCTCCCCGTTAATGATTGCCTTTTTTCCATCGCCCCATTTTGGTCTCTCTTTTAGCAAAAGTTGAACACACTCTGGAGTTATGTAATGTGGTCCTTAGTTTTTCTTCGCTCTGCTTCAAATTCAGGGAGACATTTGTGTTTACCCTGAAAAGGGTCATTCCTCAAATGCTCCTTATCTTGACCCTCATACTACGTCTTGCAGTTAACGCTACCCATCTCTGCAAATGATCCCTTTATCTACCCAGAGCTCAAGCCCAAACTGGGCATTATCTCTAATTCCTTTGAGTCCTTGCTCCTCTTAAATCCGTCTGGAATCCTACCTCCTACAAGCCCTCTTTCTGCTTTACTAGATCCTATTACGTCCTCTCTGGAGGATCACAGCAACTTCCTAACTCACGGTTTCTCTAACCACCAGTTGTGACTTATTCAGGGGTCATGAAATCAGTTGAGGTGGGTCATGCAGTTTCACCATTTAAAAAATGAAGCAGATTAGAAAATGTGAGATTGCGTCAGACAAAGGAAAAAGTAAGTACTGTTTTGTGAGACTTGTTTCAGTTTGTGTGTGCATCTGGATCTGTGTACATTCTGGGCAACAGGTAAAAATGAATTTTGTTTGCCACAATATTCTGAGAAACACTTTTCTAATTGGTCTCACTGGGTCTGTCCTTATGTCTGCTTCCACGCTGCTGGATACACTTGGAGCAAGGGTTGAAGATACTGAACAGAAACTGTCACTCTCCAGCTGACAGGTCTGCCCACAGGAGAAAGTCTCGCATGAAGTCTAGGGCTTTGGAGATTCTGAATAACTGGGTTTCCTGCTCACTTTTCAAAAGGGCCTTGGAACTCTGCATCCTCCCGACTGCTTTTACTCTTCGTCATTAAAACCATCAAGTTCCCTGGAAAGAAAAAGGGGACTTAAAATAAAACAGCAACCTCTAATAATGGAGTCCTGCCCAGGCAGTTCCCGACATATAAAAGAGAAGTCTTGCTGTTGTTTGCTATTATATGGAGAGATGTTCAGATTTTCTTTTTATATTGGAAATGAAAAAGTAAAGAAATCTGCACATCCCCACGACCCCTTGTAGTGGTCATTCCATGAAAGCCCATGGGACAGACACAGCCTTCCTGAAGGTTCCAACCAGCACATCCTTACCCCTTTCTGAGTGCTGGGACCTGCCACCTTGACTCATAAACCATTCTGCATCTCGCTGGGAAGAGACCTTGCTCCAGTGCTTGCAGCTGCTCTCGCAGCATCCCACACCAGCACTTTGCCACTTGCCTTACTTATGTATGTTACAGAGTCTGGGTTTAGAGAACCTGCTCTATTAAGTAGAAAGGCTACAGAAATTTACCTCTTTAGGGGGAAAAAAGAAACAAAAACAGCAACTTTAAATTCTTTAATTTAGAAGCAGGTCTGTTGCTCTTTTCCCTAAACTGATCAGCAGTAGCTTGCCTTTGGCAGAAAATTTGACAGAATATTATGATAAGAAGAAATTGACATGAAAGTGCACTCTAACAAAGAAAAAAAGTCACTGTTGTAATTCTGTATAAAACTGTGTACTCTGACATCAAGCAGTTAGAGCCATGTGATGTGCTTATGGATGATTTTTACTTTATTCTTTGGGCTTCTCTAAATTTTCTAATTAAAAAAATCATTGCTATTGTAATCATAAAAACATATACATGTCAGAATACCAATTAGATACACTATTAGGTCATCACTGTTGTGACACCTGACTAATTTCATTTTTACCATATATATTGCTGTGTATTTTTTCTTTTCTTTTTTTTTTTTTAAAGATTTTATTTATTTATTTGAGACAGAGAGAATGAGAGACAGAGAACATGAGAGGGAGGAGGGTCAGAGGGAGAAGCAGACTCCCTGCCGAGCAGGGAGCCCGATGCGGGACTCGATCCCGGGACTCCAGGATCATGACCTGAGCCGAAGGCAGTCGCTTAACCAACTGAGCCACCCAGGTGCCCCTATTTTTTCCTTTTTTTAACCATTTGGTTTTGAAGGATTTTTTTTTTTAAGATTTTATTTATTTGAGAGAGAGAGAAGGAGCAGGGGAGGGGCAGAAGAAGAGGGAGGGGCAGAGGAAGAGGGAGAAGCAGGCTCCCTGCTGAGCCAAGGAGCCCAATGATGCGGGGCTGGATCCCAGGACCCTGGGATCATGACCTGAGCCGAAGGCAGCTGCTCAACCAAGCCACCCAGGTGCCCTGGTTTTGAAGGAAATTTTGTATGAATCCCACATTTAAAAAAATAATGAAAGCCTCTTAATATTGTTTGATATTTCACTGTCTTTAGGAGCTTAAGGAACATTGTCCCATAAAATACCATGAACACTGACATAGAACTCCTGATGTTTTCACACCTAACAGCTTACTGTTTCCAGAATGCCATCTTTTTTACATGTCTTCTTGCCTGTGGCACACACATTGCTGTTTGCTCTCTCATCACCGCCCTCCTTGCCAACAGGACCTCAATGCTGTTAACTTTTCCAAGCAGCCATGACTTTTTGGGAAGTCAACCCCTGCCCTAGATTTGGAGGCTGAATCTTCGTTGAAGGGACGTCTGATGGGAATGATTCTAGGAAGGTTTACCTCCCTAGTTAAAGCAACACAAGGCAGGGACATTCGTTTTCTTCCTCTGGACGTTGTCATCAGCAAGAGATACCCTGAAGTGTGGCTGCCATCTGGGGACCACAAGGGGCATCTGCCTGAGCAGACAAACCCACATTGAGGATGACGGGTGGAAAGATGGCAGGAAGCTGGTCTGGATATATTCATTGGCTGCCTTACCTCTAGATTTGCTATTATTTGAGAAAACGAATGCCTTTCCCATCTAAGTCACTTTGATTTTATTTCTAAAATTTTATTTACTTATTTATTTGACTTAGACTTATGCAAATGAACTTATATATGTTAAGCGTCCTTGAACACTCCTGTTCATTCATCAAGGTTCACTTCGTTTGTGTTCCATTAGTAGCTCCTACATATCTTTATTATAAAATTCATCACAGGGGTGCCTGGTGGCTCAGTCAGTTAAGCATCCGACTCTTGACTTTAGCTCAGGTCATGAGCTCAGGGTTGTGAGATTGAGCCCTGTGTTGGGCTCGGTGCTGGGTGTGGAGCCTGCCTAGAATTCTCTCTCCCTCTGCCCCTCCTGCCCCCAACCCCCTGTGCTCACACACACTCTCTCCAAAAAAAAACCCAAAAACAAACACAAAAACAAAAAACAAAAAACCCCCAAAACAAACAAAAAAACCTCATCGCAGTGCTTTTTACAGTACTATTCCAATGCTCTTGGACGAGAATGAGGAAAATTAGCGATCAGGTAGATCTTTGTTTACTACTCTATTTACTTCTTGGATTAAATGATTCTGTATGACAAATTCTATTATACAAGATATCACCAGACCAGGATTTCTGTATTTCAGAAAGACTCTCAGCCTTGGTGGCCCAACTTCATCCATAGTAGCGTGGTGACTGGAAAAGGTAGTTCTTCAAAGTCAGCCAGACCTGGTGCAAATCCTGACCTGCCAATTAGAGGCTACATGACCTCATAGGATTCAGCTCTTCTGACCTCTGTTTTTTCATCTGCTGAGTTAGGGCAGTGACACTGATGATCTCATGGTGTAATGAGATGAATGAGGAAGTGAATATAGTGTAAGGTGACACAGTGTGGCACTTCTGTCTGACACCCAGGAGGTAGGCTCTTTGCCCTTCCTCTCCTTCCTACATTATTGGATACAACAATATTCAAATATAACAAAAAACCATCTTGCAAACTTCCCAAGGGGGGAAATTCTATACTTTTCAGATGTTTGGGTTTCCATAACATGAAGGGCCCGGCACAGATGTTACAGGCATGAACACATATTTTCAGATGCCTCTCCCTGGTGTCTAATATTAAAACTTCATTTTATCACTCTGGTCTCAACTCATAAATTCTCTCTTTAGAGAGCCTTCCTTCACTGCCCAGTTTCGAGCAGTTCCATGCTCTCCCATGGCAGCCCAGTAACCACCTACGAATAGGAGATGCACAGAGAAGATGTAATTGACCATGAAGGTGATGCATCTTTTATAAGCTAGACACACTTTCCGAGGGTGCAGAGTTGTCCCTTGCCCATTCTGCTCTTCAGCTGAGTCCTTACCAGCCTTCTGCCATTGTACCCCATCCCAGCAGCTCTGCAGCCTCCAGCTGGGGCTGTCTCCAGAGGGCCTGCACCCCTCCACCTTCCACCACTCGTTCAAATCATACACTGTGACTACCTCCAGCCTCTGCTGTCTTGAGCTTTGGAAGAGGCAGAAATTGCCATGAATTTCTGATGTCTTGCTGGATAGATCCTTATTAGTGGTTTAAAACTTTTTCATGCTCTCTAGAGTTCAGAAAAGACAAAAACAAGACAAAAACAAAAGCACTTGCAAGTATGTTTCCCTTTGCCTTCATAACCAACACTCATGATTTCCAGCCAGAGAGGGTGGGAGGGCAGGATATGCATGGGACCTGCTTACTCTAAGTTCAAGTACTTGAGAATTTAAAGTTGCAGACCCTCTCCAAACTCTGCTTAAGGCCTGTCAACTGGATTTCTTTAGATTACTAGGGTAATAGGGTAAGATACCAGCCCTAAAATTGTCTACTTAAATTACTAGAAATCTATTAAACAACAACTTCTTTGCTTTCCATGCCTGAGAGACAATATTGCATGATGTTTCAAAATGTAAGTTTTAGGAGCGTCTGGGTGGCTCAGTCGTTAAACGTCTGCCTTCCGCTCGGGTCATGCTCCCAGAGTCCTGGGATCGAGCCCCCCCTCGGGCTCCCTGCTCAGCGGGAAGCCTGCTTCTCCCTCTCCCACTCCCCCTGCTTGTGTTCCCTCTCTCGCTATCTCTGACAAATAAATAAATAAAATCTTGGAAAAAAAATTTTTTAAAAATGTAAGTTTTAGAGGGGGACCTTGATTTAAAAGTGTGCCACCTGGGGAAGGTTGCTTACTCTCTTTGAATATCAGTTTCTTATTTTGTAAAATGAGGATTAGAATACCTTCCTTAGGGGGTTGTTGGGAGAATAAAATGAAGTAACATATGAGAAATGCTCACCACATTGCCTGACAGATGGTAAGTGCTCAATAAATAGTATACGTAACAGCAACAATAATGTTATAAGAGAAATCCCTTTCTTTTGTCTTAGCAGCTACTAAGCCAGGTGCATCCTGTGCAAAAGGCCTGTGACCCTCCGAAGCGATAGTTCCATCCAAAGGTGGTGAGATTATACCAGCCCATCTCCATGACAACCAGGTGTCTTATTTATCTTGTCTAGTGCCAGGTAGGTGGTATGTGATGAGACAAAACTCATGCTCTCTCTTTCTCTCAAATAAATAAAAATCTTTTTTTTAAAGATTATTTATTTATTTATTTGGCAGAGAGAGAGACAGCGAGAGAGGGAACACAAGCAGGGGGAGTGGGAGAGGGAGAAGCAGGCCTCCTGCTGAGCAAGGAGCCTGATGCAGGGCTCCATCCCAGGACCCTGGGATCATGACCTGAGCTGAAGGCAGACGCTTAAAGACTGAGCCACCCAAGCACCCCAATAAATAAAAGGTATGAAAAAAAAAATCAACCTAACCTTTCTCAGGAAGAAAAGGGTTGGCATTCTGGAGAAAGGAGTAAAAGGAACAGTGTTGGTTGAGAGGGCCCTGTGCCTAGGACACTTGGAAAGTATGGATTTATGGGGTGCCTGGGTGGCACAATCGGTTAAGTGGCCAACTCTTGATTTCAGCTCATGTCATGGTGTCAGGGTCATGGGATAGAGCCCTGTGTCTGACCCCATGCTCAGTGCAGAGTCTTCTCAAGTCTCTCATTTCCTCTCCCCCCACCCCTGCCCTGCTCTCTCTCTCTAAAATTAAATAAATCTTTAAAGAAAAAGGTATGAATGAATGGAATGCCTGGATGAAGCAAAAGTCTTTGGAATTCCAGTTCTGTAAATTGGTAGGTCTGTGATCTCGGGCAATGCACTTAAGTATTCTGTGCTTCATTTGTAACAATCTGTAGAGTGCATTCTGTTTCATTTTATAATAATCTGTAGAATGGGACCATGACTATAAGGTAGTTGTTATGGTGAACATGAAAGAGGCAGCAGGTGTGAAAGCCCTTTGTAAACTGCAAAGTGCTCTGCAGCTGTAGTAGGAACAACAGCAACAGTCTTAACAATTGTTACTTTTTTGGGAGCCAGCTGAGTAATTTTTCCAAACCACAATTCTTTTTTTTTTTTTAAGATTTTATTTATTTATTAGAGAGAGAGCACAAGCAGGGGGAGCGGCAGGTAGAGGGAGAAGCAGGGTCCCCACTGAGCAGTGAGCCTGATGCGGGGCTTGATCCCAGGACCCTGGGATCATGACCTGAGCCGAAGGCAGATGCTTAACAACTGAGCCATCCAGGCACCCCCCAAACCACAATTCTTCCTGGAGCAGCATAAATTGAGTTGGCCTTTGGCTAATGTTGAGTTGGAGCTCTGGGGATAGTTTTATAAAATTTGCATGAAATTGCAAATTTAGGTAAATAAGAGGGGGGGAATGCTGTAAAAATTAATAGGGCCAAAGGAAATGGTCTCTAATACTTCCCCTCGCATCCACCCCAAAACACTCATAATATTTGATATAAAAATAACATGGCAACAAATAGCTGCATTAAAAACGAACAGTTCTTCCAACATTGCTTAGAGTGAAGCTAAGTGAATTTTAAAAGTGATGGGAATCAAACAAAACTTGGAGAGGAGATAGAAAATAATTTTTCATACACTGCATAAATAGAGTTGATAACTGATGGTTTTGAATAAATGAGTAGAAAAGTTGGGACTGGCAGGTCTAATGTTACCATGGTAAGTGCTAATTGGGGGTCTCTATTTTCTTAAATAGAAACTTGCTTATAAAGAGATAGAATCCGAAGGCACTTAATAAATAGGCTCTACGATGCCCCTTTGTGAATTTGGTGCAAGGAGGAGAGCTGGGTCATGCGCAGATAATCTTTGAGGGAGTTGCTGGGGAATTGGCCTTAGCAATAGCCAGATGATGAGAGAAAAATCCAAGGGAGACCTTGGCAGGTGGGAGGCAGTTGGAGTGGAGCTAGCTAGTCCGAGCAATGGGAAAGGGAGGTGATGGGTAAGGGGAGACCAAGAAAACATTTTTCTTTGCTTCGTCTGAGGCAGAGGCAGCTCTGAGCACAAATGTAAAGTAGGTAAAATTTCCTGAGTCTTTCTCTCCATAGCTAAAGGGAGATCTGCCATCCTGTTCTTCCCCACTCAATCAATTCCACATTTTCCAGATCTCTTTCATTCCCTTAGATGCTCCCTCTTTGAAGGGTAAAACTCTAGCGAGTCTGATAAATGAATGCATTGAATTTTTAGAAAAGTTCTTGCAAACATTTCTTTCCTCCAGAGTAATAAAAATGTATTTTAAAAAAGGTTCTCTGTAAAGTCTGTCTTAATGCCAAGGAGTGTCTAAAATTGGGAATTTCTGACACTGCTAATAGACCTGTTGTGGCCACAAACATCAGTCTGTGGCTCTCAAATCATAATAAGGCCAGGAAAGGGAAGAACTACATTTTATACTTTACCTGTGTAGGCGTGGAATTGTGCTGAGTACTTTTTCCACATGACCTTCATTCCATTTTACAGATTTGGAGATGGAGGAGAGGTTCAGAGAGGCTGGTAACCTGCCAGAGGTGGATGCAACCGTATTTTCTGACAGATTCTTCCAGAACAGGTCAGGAAACTTTTCTATCAAGAGCTGTAAATATTTGGGGTGCTCAGGTGGCTCAGTTGGGTAAGCATCTGCCTATGGCTCAGGTCATGATCCCGGGGTCCTGGGATCCAGCCCCACATTGGGCTCCCTGCTCAACAGGGAGCCTGCTTCTCCCTCTCCCTCTGCCCCTCCTCCCCCAGCTTGTCCTCTCTCTCACACACAAATAAATAACTAAAATCTTAAAAAAAAAAAAAAAAAAGATTTTAGGCTTTGTGGACCATGCACTCTCTGGTCCCAAACACTTAACTTTGCCATTGTGGCAAAGCCAAAGCCAACGCCAACATGCAAATGAGTGAGCGGGGCTGTTTTGGAGAGGTGAACCAGATTTGGTCTGAGGGCATAGCTGGCCAAGCCCTGTTCTGGAACTTTGCCACTTCCTGTCAAGAGGTGGAGTCTAGTTCCCCTCCCTTTGAATCTGGGGGGTGTATGATTTGTTTTTGACTGAGGGAGTGTGAAGGCAGTGACCTGTATGACCTCTGAGGCTAGATCAGAAAAGGTGATGGATGCAATTTCTACCTCTCTCCCTGGGGCAGCTGCCTGCCCGAAGCCCTGAGCCACCACAGGAGCTGTCCAGTTGCCCTGAAGCCGCCATCAGCCACGTGGAAAAGTTACATGGAGAAGCCTTGAGGCTATTGGAAGAGAAAGAGATGCTCAGCGAGCCCCGAGTTCTAGCGCCTCACCAACTGCAAGCCTGGGAGAGCCCCTGAACCAGAATTACCCAGCAGAAGGTCTTCCCAGATTCCTGGCCCTTACAAACAGGACTAACAAGATGATTGCTATTGTTTTAAGGTACTAAGTTTTTGGATGATTTGTTACATGGAAATAAAACAGAAAATTGCCCCCAAACTAGTGAGTGGCAGAGATGGGGTTAACCTAGGTTGGCCTGACCCCAGCCATGTGTTTTTTCCATTATATGATTGCTTCCAGCAGCGTTTTTGGAAGAAAAAAAAAAAAAAAAGCTGTGCTAAAATATATATCACACAAAATTTACCATGTTAACTATTTTTAAGTCTACAGTAAGTACATTCACATTGTTGTGCAAGCAGGCTCCAGAACTCTTGTCATCTCCCAAAACTAAATTTCTGTCCCCATAAAACAACTCCCTATCCTTCCCTCTCCCCTAGCCCCTGGCAACCGCCATTCCACTTTCTGTCTGTATGAATTTGATCACTCTAGGTCCTTTGTGTAAGTGGAATCATACGGTATTTGTCTCTTTTGGGACCGGCTTATTTCCTTGTGTGTGTGTCCTTATATATTTATATATTTTAAGCCTATGTTGGTTAATGAGTCTGACCAGCAAGTAATGAAGGTTTGTCAAGGAAAAATGTCAGAGATTCCAGGTGCTGTGAGTCATAGACCCAACATGTCCTGGGAAGGACCTTGCAATGGCACTTACTCTGACAGTGACAGTTCACAGTGTCCTGCCTCTAAATGGCTTTGAAGAAAGAGGAGCGGGGAATCAAGACTAAGATAAGGCTGTTCGTTTTTTTTCAGCTTGTGGGCGGTTTGACTTCCCTCTCAGAACCATGCCTGGAGAATGAAATCACTTTCTCTCACACAGCCCTTTCAGAGCCTCAAACACAAATGCTCCGTGTCTGCCCCTTGGGTTCCCCTGTGTCGGTGGTGTGTAAGGACTTGGTGGACTTTCTGTGATTAGCTATGAATTATGTATTAAGCAAAAAACCTTCTGCAGAGAATTGGCTCTGGGGAAGGTGGGCCTTAAATCCTGCTGCTTTCTCACACAGACTGAGCCTGAGCCTTTGGGGGCTACTTTGACCTTCTCTGCATTCCTCCCACCCCTAATCTAAGACCAAAAGGCTGTTCTGGGCTGAGGTGCACTCTCTTAAATTCAACAGCCTGGCCTTCCTCTCCCCGACCCTCATGCTACTTCCATCTAGCCCACCTGATACACTAGAAGTAACCTTCTGGAATCTCCCAGAGCCCCAGCCCACTGATACGGGCTGAACTGTGTCTCCACGCCCACCCCCAAGTTCATATGTGGAAGTCCTAACTCTCAGGACATCAGAACAACTGTATTTGGAGACAGGGTCTTTAAAGGGGTGATTAAGTTACAATGAGGTCATTAGTGTGGGCCTGAATCCAGTAAGACTGGTGTCCTTATAAGAAGAGAGAGAAGGGGGGAAGGAAACGCCTGAGGGGCTCAGTAGGTTAAGCATCTGCCTTCAGCTCAGGTCATGATCCCAGGGTCCTGGGATTGAGCCCCACCTTGGGCTCCCTGCCGCTCCCCCTGCTTGTGCTCTCTCACTCTTTCTCTGTCAAGTAAATAAATAAAATCTTAAAAAAAAAAAAGAGAAGCACCAGGGGCACATGTTCACAGAAGAGGGACCATGTGGGGACACAGGGAGAAGGGAGCCATCTGCAAGCCAAGGAGAGGGACCTCTGAAGAAGCAACCTGCCCCCACCTTGGCCTTGGACGTCCAGCCTCCAGAACTGTCAGAAAATACATTTCTGTTGTTTAAGCCACCCCATCTGTGGTACTTTGTTATGGCAGCTTCAGCATATTACTATACCCACCAACAGAAATTTCACAGCCTTGAGGTTGGGACCTCAGCCCAGAAATTCTGAAGGTAATAATCAGAAATTCAAAAGGCAATAAAGACTTTTAATTCAGTTCCTCTTTTTGTGTCTTTCACAAGCGGCCTGCTAGCAGGTTTGGAAGGTGGTGCTTCTGACTGAGCCCGGAGTGAACAAGCCCAGTGGGGCCACCGGAGGCTCCTGGCTCTGAAGAGGAGGCATTGCGGCTCTAGATTCTAAAAAGTCTGGCAAGTATGGGGAGACTTAGCTCGTGTTTGGGGCATGGTCTTTTTTTTTTTTTTTTTTTAAAGATTTTATTTATTTATTTGAGAGAGAATGAGAGAGAGCACATGAGAGGGGGGAGGGTCAGAGGGAGAAGCAGACTCCCTGCCGAGCAGGGAGCCCAATGCGGGACTCGATCCAGGGACTCCAGGATCATGACCTGAGCCGAAGGCAGTCGCTTAACCAACTGAGCCACCCAGGCGCCCTGGGGCATGGTCTTAAGAGGCTCATCTTGATGGGCACTTCACTAACTTCTCCCCTCTTGTAATAAAAGACAAGACCTTTGTCCTATAAAGGACCTTTATTACCGGGAAAGTAAGAAGGATTGCATCGCTCAAATCCCGATACTGTTTTGGTGTTCTTTTGTGGGAAGGAGGGACACCTGCTGTTTAAACAGGTGGTAGGGTGGGTGGGGCAATAGGCAAAACAATAGTTTCTAAATTCTGAATCTTTGAAATCTGTGAGTGTGTTACCTTACACAGCAGTGGGGACTTGGCCAATGTGATTAAGTTAAGGATTTTAAAATGGCAAGATGAACCTGGATTATCTAGGTGGCCCCAGTGTAATCACAAGGGTCCCTATAAGAGGGAGGCAGGAGGGTCAGGATCAGAGGAGAGGTGTTGGAAACGGGTTGGGGAGAAAAGGGGGATGGGGGACGTGAGGTTTTAAGATGCTACATCCTGCTGGCTTTGGAGATGCATCGGCCACGAGGCCAAGAATATAAGTAGTCAAGCAGCCTCTAGAAGCTGGAAGAGGCAAGGAAGTGGATTCTCCCCTAGAGCCTCCACAATGGAGCGCAGCTCTGCCTACCTATTTTAGACCACAAAGCTGTAAGATGATTGGTGTTAAGTCACAAGATCATGGCAACTTGTTACAGCAGCCACGGGAAACCAGCCCAGGTGGTGAGGATGGAAGTCCTTGGGAAGAGCTGCTATCACATGTACATGGGCAGTGGTAAGTGCCCCACAACGAAATGAGAGAGCTAAAGCTTCCATCCCCTAAAGTGGTGGTTCTCAAAGGTGGTCTAACCCTCAGTGTCAGGGCACCTGGAAATTGTGTCTCAGACTCTCTGGCTATACCCCAGACCTACTGATGGAGAAACCCCCCAGGTGGGCTCTGCGAGCATTCAGGTGGCTCCAGTGCACACCAGGGTTCACCTTAAAAGTAAGTGACCTGGGCTGGTTCTTTTTTTTTTTTTTTAAAGATCTTATTTATTTTTCAACAGAGGGAGAGACAGCGAGAGAGGGAACACAAGCAGGGGGAGTGGGAGAGGGAGAAGCAGGCTTCCCGCTGAGCAGGGAGCCCGATGTAGGGCTCGATCCCAGGACCCTGGGATCATGACCTGAGCTAAAGGCAGACGCTTAATGACTGAGCCACCTAGGCACTGGGCTGGTTCTTACTGAGTGACGGGTACCTGGGGACCCTTGAAAGTGGATGTGTTCCTATTGAATTTACACTTCGATTAGTTATTTTGTGATTTATGCTTGGTTTGGAATCTGGGAAGGATGGGCAAAGTTCTCAACCCCAAGATGGGGTCTGCATGGGAAAGCGGGATGAGGGGGAGCCCAGAGTTCAGTCTCCATGTCCCTACAGGTCCCTACCCCCTTCACACAGCCTGTGCCTGTGGAAAAGACCAAGAATAAGGCTAGATCGTGGTGACAGGGCCTTGCCCTTGGCCCAGCTTGGGGCAGCAGCAGGTGGCTATTCCCTCCCAACTCCTTGCTCAATCCTGACCTGGCTAATTGGAAAAAGTACTCGCTTCTGAAAGCCTGAGTGACGTCATCCCTTCCAGGCACAGCTTAGAGTTTTAGAATCAGACAGACATGGGTTTCAGTCCTGGCTCTGCCTCCTATTAGCTGGGTGATCTTGGGCACTGAATCTCTCTGCGTCTGTAACTGGGCATGCTAAAGTACTTATCTGATAGAGGTCGTGAGAAATTTAGTGAAATAATGTATGCCAAGGTCCTAGGGCAGGGCCTAGAACGAAGTCAATGCTTATTATTATTTTTTTTAAAAGATTTTATTTATTTATTTGACAGAGGGAGACATAGCAAGAGAGGGAACACAAGCAGGGGGAGCGGGAGAGGGAGAAGCAGGCTTCCTGCTGAGCAGGGAGCCCGATGCGGGGCTCGATCCCAGGACTCTTGGATCATGACCTGAGCCGAAGGCAGACGCTTAACAACTGAGCCACCCAGGCGAAGTCAATGCTTATACTATTGTTACTTATTGTCATTAATTGTAATTCATGTTGCTAATTGCAACAAAGAGCTATTATTTACTCCAGCCGTGATTTTAGTCTATTTCCAGGCTTCACATGTATCAGGGATCCAAATCACAAGTTCATCCTTAGAAGGGATTCAGCCCATTTTAAGTGCTGCTAACACCTCTCTCTCAGGTTCTTCAAGGCTCGGTGATGAGGAAAAGTCACCTATAATGTGAAGGCGTTTCTCGGTGCTTCCCAGCTGCTGGAACTTTCTGCAGCAGTGGGGGGGGATGTGGCTGGTCCCGAGCTGGTTGTTCCCATGTCCCCCTCAGTGCCCGGTCCGGGTGGCTCTGATACTTTACCTGCCTCCTCCTGGGGCCTCCAGGGCACCCAGACAGCCGCTACCGCATCCTGCTGCTTCAGAAGCAGAAGTGAGGCGCCTTCAGGACCTTCCTGGGTGAGTGACAGCCCTTGAGATGAGATTAATAAAATGCTGGCGCTCAGGGGAATCCAGGCTTTCCCCCTGTCACCTCTGCCCCTCCTTTCTCAGGACACACAAAAGGAGCCCGGCCGATCGGGTCATGTCAGCCTTTTCTGTGAAGACAGTGGGCACCGGTGACCAGGGTGTGAACGGTCCCTTTCACCGTTGGAGGGTCCCACCGGTAGACACGCTGCCAGAATGTGACCGGCCACTCTGTGCTTGCCTGTGCCACCGCCTGTGTAGTGCGGGGCTCTGAGGGCATCACTTTGGGGATCTGGCCCCTGATGGCAGATGAGGTGTTGTCCCGCTTCCTTAGGGGAGCTGCTGGGTTTTTCCTCAGCCGCCACAGGCAGCCGAGTGACAGCATTCCGGGAACCAGAGGGGCTCAGGGAGCCCCTGGAATTTCAAGGGGAGCAGCCCGGCTGCCCGTTCATTTCTGCCTTGTTGTTTTCTCTGAGTCGTACGACACTACTTTGTGGCTCGCTCACTCACCACCCGAATCCCACAAACTTGAAAATTTACCTTTCTTAGAAGGGAAAAGCCTGTTGATTTTTACCTCCACAGAAACAGTTTAATTTTTAAAAGATTCAAGATGCCCCCAAAGGTCACGATAAAGACTAATTATAAGAACAAGGGAAATGAACAGATGAAGAATATCCTGCCCCCTTTTAATTCAAGTTTATTCTATTTATTCTGTGTAAGCCAAGGGAAGGATTGGTCACAATATTACATCTGATTTAGGCCATATCACCTAAGGGTGAATGTTTGTGTCCTCCTTAAATTCTTACGTTGAAACTCTGTCCCCTAAAATGATGGTGTTTGGAGGTGGGGCCTTTGGGAGGTGATAAGGTTTAGATGAGGTCATGAGGATAGGGGTCCTTCTGATGGGATTAGTGTCCTTACAAGAGGAGATGCCTGTCTTTCTCTCTCACCACATATAAAGGTCATGTGAGGACACAGCAAAAAGGCTACTGTCTGCAACCCAAGAAGCGAGCCCTCACTAGATGTTGACCCTGCTGGCGCTTTGATCTCAGACTTTCAAGACTCCAGAACAGTGAGAAACAAATGTCCGTTGTGAAGCCACCCAGACTCTGGTATTTTTTCTAGCAGCCTCCAAAGACTGAGACAGTGCCTCAAGAGCAAAATAATCTAAACTCCAAGAAATAGACTACAGAGCCCCAGGCAGCTTTCATTGGGTGCTCCTCCCATCCCAAAAGACAAAATCATGGTCTTTCACGGATGCTTATAGAAGAAAATCTACCACCACGTGCAGAGTGTGTGAAAGGGAAGAACCCAAACAAGGAGCCCTTGCATCCTCTCAGTGCCCACCTCACAGAGCCTCTCCTGCCACCTAGCCAGGGTTCTTGGCAGTGGACCTTACTGGCCTGCTTCCCGAAGGAGGTGGTTCTCCATTTTCTCTCCCAAGCAGGCTTCTCTTCCTCCTCCATGGAAATCTATCTCTAGCCCATTATACGCCTATGATTGCATGCCTGCCAAATTCTACAGCTATTCATGAGGTTATCTTAGGAATGGATATATTCCACCTATTAGCTTTGGTGGCCAAGACCTGCTGCTGTGTTGGCATTTTCTATCCTCACATCCTGTTAGAGGCTGTGTGTGTGTTTGGGCCTGAGTGGGTTATGGTGGTGGGGAGAGACACCTCCTGGTCAAGCATTTGCCATGGAGCTGCCTGGCATGTGTAGTGTTCCTCAAGGTGGCGCCACACAGATGCCCCAAAGGAAACAGTTGGAGGCTGAATTAGCAATAATTCTCCTGAATTATTTTCAGGAGATTAGAATTGGAACAGCTTCAAGGATTCATAATACAAAATAGTTTGCTTTAAGGCAGTTAAACCAGAAGCATAAATTTTAATTCTGAGGGACAGAAAGTAGATTAGTGGTTGCCTAGGTTTGGGGGTAGGGAGTGGAGAGTGACTAACTGGGATGATGAAAATGTTCTGAACTTAAATTGTGGGTGATGGTTGCACAACTCTGAATCTACTAAAACAAACCCCAAAACATCTAAATACATACTTTAAATGGATGAATTTTATGGTATGTGAATTCCATCTCAAGTTGTTAAACATTTAATTCTGAGAGAATTACATCGTCTATAAAAATAGTACTAATATTTTATTAGCATTATTAACTTTTTTTTACCAATTATTTCTGGTGTGTGATGACTAATACTTAGGTTACATATGCTCTTGGGACAAACAGACTGGAGAAGTTGTAGGGCTTCAGACAAGGGCCAGGTCCCAAGCACAAAAATGCGGGGAGTGGATTTGTTCAGTCTGAATGTTCATTAGTCTTTCTTTATGTTCTCCCCCATTACAGATCCATGAGGTAGAAGGGGCTGTCTGAGCATGCGTGCTTCCTCCTACCTTATCTCTGTAATCATTCCCCTGTGTTCTACAACCTCAAACATCATCCAGCTGATTCTCCAACAGGAGGGCATAACAGACTCTTCAGGGGGGGAAACGGGACAGAGGGTAGTTTTTGTAAAGACTAGAGATGCTTTGGTGACTCAGTCATTGAGCTTCCGACTTTTGGTGTTAGCTCAGGTTATGATCTCAGGGTTGTGGGATCGAGCCCAGAGTCCCACCTCAGCCTCAGTGCTCAGTGTGGAGTCTGCTTGGATTCTTACCCTCTTCTTCTCCCTCCTCCTCTGCTCCCCCCCACCCCGCCCCCCGCCATCGACCAGCCTGTGTGGGAGCTCCCGTGCTCTCTCTTAAATAAATAAATACAATCTTATAAAAAAAAAAAAGGATAGGTTGCCTTATAATGTATTTATTATTTTATCAAGGGGCTCTTTCTCTATGTAATATTCTAAAAGAATAATTACCACAATCCAGGATCATGATTTGGAATGTGATCAGCACCCTAAAAGCACCCAGCTCCCAGCCCCCTCTGCACCTTTTCCCCATTATAAACCACCTCTCCTTTCCCCAGAAGTAACTACTTTTTCAAATCTCCTAATCACTTTTAGTTTCTTGTTCCCTGTAGATCTTCTAAAGCTTATCTTTTATTTACACATAGCCAGTATATGTATAACTATATTCATAACATCTGAATCCCACAAACTTTAAGATTTACCTTTCTTAGAAGGGAAAAGCCTATTTTATTTATTTTTATTAAAGATTTTATTTGAGAGAGCATGAGCGGGGGGAGGGGCAGAGGGAGAGGGAGAAGCAGACACTCCCCACTGAGCAGGGAGCCTGACATGGGGTTCAGTTCCAGGACCCTGGGATCATGACCTGAGGCGAAGGTAGACGCTTAACTGACTGAGCCACCCAGGTGCCCAAAGCCTGTTTATTTTAATTCTAATAATTTAACATCTTAATCGTTGGTTGCAACTGTTCTCTTCTTCATGGTGCCTTGTTTCCTTGTGTGCTTAGTCATTTTTGACAGTGAGAAGATCATGTTCCTTGCAAAATTATTTTGCAAAGTTATTTGGGGCCTAGAAAAATATTCCTTTTTCTGTAAAGGATTATCATGGAAATATCCATAGCCTGAGGTCCTTTGAACCACTCAGCCAATGTAACTTTGGGCCCAGGATGTGAAAGAAGTCCATGTGTGGTTACAGCTTCTCATGAAGCTTTAGTACTTTAGTACCAAGGTAGGAGTTTTCTTGGTGTATGTGTGTTTTATTTTGCTATGTTTTGTTTGGAGTGGGGGGAAGGGGAAGTGGATCATAGGGATATACTTACCTTCTGGTTCATGCTCATGGGTAGAGTGTAATCTTTTGGGGTGCAAGTTTTATGGGATAGTTTTCTCATTAGACGTCTCCTTGGGAAGACTGGGGCTTTAACATCTGCTCACTTCTTCCTACTCTAGGATATTATCAGAACCTAAACTTGCGATCAGCCTAATTCAGCAAATGCCCTCCATGCAGAAGAAGCACCTTTACTGTTTTAGTTACCTCTCTAACTTCCCGCTTTCCAGTAACTCCTTATTAACTCATTAGATCTTGGGTGTTTTGAAGGATATATATGTATACTTACGGATGTATGGATTCTGCCATATTACTACAAGTGAAACCTATGAGAACATAATTTTAAATTTATAAGATGAAATATTTATTGGTTTTTATATTACAGTGACTGAAAGTGAAGCCTGGGCACTTTTTTTTGGCTGGAGGTGCTATGACTCTTCCTGTGACTTGGGGGGGGCGCCCACAAAAAGGAACAGGAAAAGGGGGATGCTTTGTATATTTCTTTTGGGGAGGTTTATTAGAATTTCTGAGTGGAAAGAGGGAATTTATGCTAATGGTGATCATGTATATGTATGTATGTAAAGTATATCAAGAGGTGCTTTGGATTTTTAAAAAGTTTAGAAACACTATTCCATAACTATTCAATCCTGTTTTCTAAAATTTCACCGAAGTTGCAATTCTACAGATTCTATAATGAAGAGGCCCTTTTACATTTGGGGTCTTTGACTTCTTAGATAATCTGTTGAAAGCTATAGATGCTCTTCTCCAGAGATAATTCACACACGTATACATATACAAATTGAGATTCTAATTTCAGATGGTCGAAGGGACACTCTAAAACCCATTCATTGATCTAGATTAAGAATTTCAGCTCTAAAAATACTAAATACTACTTTAATTTCCACAAAGGAATAAGTTAAATAACCTATGGCCATCCATAAAAGTAGAATTTTATGCAGATATTAAAAAGGAAATAACCTAGGGCGCCTGGCTGGCTCAGTCGGTAGAGCATGTGACTCTTGATCTCAGGGTCATGAGTTCAAGCCCCATGTTGAGCATAGAGCTTACTTTAAAAAAAAAAGGAAGCAACTCTATGTATACTAATTTAACAGATGCTAAAGATACAATGTCAAATGAAAAAAGTTGTAGAACAAATGAGAATGATTTTGTTTGTGTATACACTATGTAATTATTCCATTTGTGTATATGTTTAGAAAATATCTGCAGGGATACACAAAACCATGACATTGTGACTGGATGAGTATTGTGGAGACTTTTTTCTTTAAACAAAGTAAGATTTGGACCTACCAGCATAGACTTATATTTCTTGTATATATTATGAAGAAAAATTAAGTTAAAAAAGATGAACCATTCTTCTAAAATACAGTGTTTTATACTCTTTATAATCTATTCCAAAGGAAAAAACATATTATGTATTTATTGCTATCCAAATGAGATTCTTCCCTCTAATTGAAAACTTTGATCTCCCTTTCCTTTTTTTGTTTTCCGAAAGGTTAAAAGACATTTTTGGACTTTCCTTCTTGACTTCACTATCATTGTCTAATTACCTTTTGCTTCTCCAAGTTTTCAATTTCTTATTTATGTGTAATGTATTATATGAATGAAATCCAGACATTTGTAAATTATATTGAGAATATTGCTTGAATTTCTATGTGAATTCTCTTATTTCATGACCTCCTAAGTCATACATTATGATTTTGATACAAAACATTCCATGGATTGTTAACTCAAATTATGCTATTATAGTCAACTACATGAAATGAGGTAATTAGAAAGCTACCATGTTTGTACATGATGAGCTTCGTCTCAAATACTAAGGGACTTTATCTGTTATATACTTGCACAGATGGGTTTATTGGGGGTGAATAAAATAATTCTAATCTTTACCAGATATTAAATTTCTCACCTGCTATTTCAATTTAATTATGTCCTAATTTTTTTTAAGCAGAGCAAATTTTCTAATTTTATTTTCTGAAATGGGGCATTTTGGGTAACAGCAGAAAAAAGACACTTTTCCTGGTTTTAGTTAGAGTGGGGTTTAGAATTAATTTGAGAAACGGGTATAATAATCACAGAAATTGGGCAACCATGTCGGGACCCCTCTCGAGAGCTTTTTCTGTATCTTCACTTAATAAACTTCTGTCGCTTTACTAAAAAAATATATATAGTAATCACAGAAATTACTACAATATAAAGTCCAACTGTTCTAGCCTGTTGATCACAGAAAGTTTCATATACAAACTAGTCAAGAGTCCAGTTGTCTGTCCCATTTTTGTCAATGGGGCTCCATCCCCTTGGAAGTTTTTAGACTTAAATCACGGATGCAGCCAATTGATTCATTCACATGTGAGCGGTGAGTGTGGCCTCTCCTGTGCGGAAGGTAGATGATTGGCTGAAGGTAACCTCCCCGGGATGCGAGAAGCTTCCTGGGATGTACCTTAATGGGGATTCCCTTCAACAGATGGCCACCATCTCCGTCTTGCAATTAGTTATTTGCTGACAGCTTTCTTCTGTTTAACTCAAGTCTTTCTTATTTAATAGACCCTCCTTACATTTAATTCTACCTTTCAAAGATACAGAAATTGGCAATATCCGATTTGTAACCCCACATTCCTCTTCCTCATATCCATGTTTAAATAGTCATCAATTTCGTGAATCCAATCTCTTTCATCCCATAGATTGCCTTGGTCTTGACAGGGTCTTCCATAATAATCACAGGATTCTCTGCCTCCAGTCAAAACCCTTATTAATTAATTCCCTACACTGTCTTCTGAATTATCTTTTATTTTTTAATCTTTTACATTTTATTTTGTTAGGTTAGTCACCACACAGTACATCACCAGTTTTCAATGCAGTGATCCACGATTCATTGTTTCCATACAACACCCAGTGCTCCATGCAGTATGTGCCCTCCTTAATACCCATCACCGGGCTAACCCATTTCCCCCACCGCCCTCCCCTCTAAAACCCTCAGTCTGTGGACTCTGAATTATCTTTTAAAGAGACAAACCTGATCATTGCATTCACTAGCTTTAAGATCTTCAATGGCTCCTCACTTCCTAAGGATAAAGTCCAACTCTGTGTTGGCATTTGTATAATTTGACCCATTCTCTTCTGCTTCTTACTATTCTCTCCCTATACACTTTTTGCTCCTTTCTCTTATTTTCCTGCTTGCTGCTTGACACATGCTGTTTTCTCTGCCTGTAATTTTTTGTCCTCTTTCTTTACCTGGCAAACTCCTATTTGTCTTTTAAGTTTTGTATCTGTTACCATCCGTCCTGTAAAACCTTCCTGAATTATTTACCCTGTCCCTGTCCTCTCTTAACTTTTAGAAGGTACCTCTCATAATCTTTCATCACTGTACTGTAATTATAGACTTCTGTCTTCCCTCCTCGCCCCCTCCTCCTCCCCCCCCCCCCCCAAGAGAACAGACCCTGTGTCTTAACCATCTCTGAATCCAGTACCTCCACAGTGCCTGGCTCAATACAATTTTTTTTTCAGGTATATGTTGTGTATCTGAAACCAGTTCAAATGTCTTTCTAAGGTGACTGATCTTTCCTTAAAAAGAAAACTAGACTGGGGCGCCTGGAAGATAACTATTTAAACATGGATATGAGGAAGAGGAATGTGGGGTTACAGATTGGATATTGCCAATTTCTTTATTTTTGAAAGGTAGAATTAAATGTAAGGAGGGTCTATTAAATAAGGAAGACTTGAGTTAAACAGTGTCTGCCTTCAGCTCAGGTCATGATCTCAGAGTCCTGGGATCGAGCCCTGCATGGGGCTCCTTGCTCAGCGGGGAGTCTGCTTCTCCCTCTCTTCCCCAGTCGTGCTCTCTCTCACTGTCTGTCTCTCTAAAATAAATAAATAGATCTTAAAAATATATATGTTAATACAGTAGAGTTGTGGTAAAGACCAATTGCAGTGGTGGGAAAGAGACCCAGGGCGCCTGGGTGGCTCAGTTGGTTAATCAACTGCCTTCGACTCAAGTCATGATCCCAGGGTCCTGGGATCAAGTCCCGCATCAGGCTCCCTGCTCAGCAGGGAGTCTGCTTCTCCCTCTGACCCTACCCCTCTTGTGCTCTCTCAAATAATAAAATAAAATCTTAAAAAAAAAAAAAAGACTGACCCATCTGATCCTTCCACTGTGCTAGTGCTTTTAAATATTTTCAACTCACAAATCACCTGGTGTTTCACTATCCACTGTGTTTTTCTGCTAGACAGCTTCCCCCCCCTCTTCTGTCTTGTGATCTCATACTTCTGTTTTCTTCTCTCAGTCATATTGATGTGCATTTCACTGCTCGGAACGTCATTGTGTTAATGTACTTTATAAAGATCCCAGTGACTCTTCTGTTAATCTTACATTTTTAGGAGTGGGAAAATTTAAAGAGTAATATCAAGCTCTGGAGGCATTGGGTATTTGCTGTCTTTTAACATCAGCAAAACATTCTATTCCATCAGTACTTGGTACTGTCAGTGTTTGATTCCTATATTATCAAGAGAACAGCTCTAAGCAATCTCATGGTAGCATAAAGTTCGCCAAGATGTTACAATTGTCACATCAGTATATAGTATCAAAGAGGATATTCACTAGGCAGCAATGGTTGTATAATGTCTTATTCATTTGATCTATTTCATCTTCATATTCAGTAATAACCCCCACAAGAACGTAAAAACTGATATTATGCTGTACCTTTGTTTCCCTAGTACAGCTTTTGACTGCCATTGGTTTCAAATAGAGAAGTCCCCAAGCTGTGGTCCATGGCCTGGGTGCTCTCAGCTGTGTCCAGAGGGACCCGTACAAAAGCATAGGAAGAGCTTTAATGTGCTGTCTTGTGGAGACAGCCAAAGGTCATGGACTATCACAGGACTAGAATTTTGTGTAGGAAGCACAGCCCCTTTGCCTAAAATCTGCTTACAGGTGAGGTTGCTGAAGAGTCAGCTTGGCATAGTGTCTATCATAGTGACCCAGGTAAGGGTCACTCTTAAATCTTGGATGCATGTGATGATGAGGCATCAGTTTGATGAAGATAAGAAATATACCATTTGACATAATTGCACTACTGCTATTCATAGAGTTGCCCTTTAAATTGATTAGCCTAATGAGATAGATTACATGACGATTTTTCTTTTTTTGTATCCCTTATAGCTCTTAGGATAGTAGTGTTTTGGGTGCAATAGATGCTTAATAAATACTTGTTGGAAAAAATAGACATCGAGAAAGAAATGGAGTAACTTGGCATAAAAGTCCTGTGTAAGGCCTGCTCTGGGCTGAGAGCCATGTTGCCCTGTTCTTAAAGCCAAGGGCTCTTCCTCCAAGCCTTCTGCCAAAATCCTTGATTTCTGGGCCAAGTAATGGAAAATGGCCCACTCCCGTGATCAAAACCATATTTCTTTCTAATGTGTAATAATAGGATACGATCTTCAAAAGCACTTCAAAGTAACCAGGAAAGTTAGGACTTGCCATGTCAAGAAACAGAGCAGAGGGCCCCTTGACTGGGGTCTGAAATGAATCCTTGGTTGAACAAGTAATGGAAACTGACAAAGCTCCCAGACTGAAAGAACCCAGCACACCGAGAGGCTGGTTAGTTGGACTCAGTTGTGTTCCCTGTGCGACATTCTCCCCTGAAGACACAGGGTTGAGGAAAGCCAAACTGGCGCCCGTGCTTGCCTTCTTCCTACACTGATGTGTAAATTTAAAAGACCTTTCCCAGCTGAGAGCCAAGTCATGACTACCACTCAAAGCAGAGCAACCTCACGGCTTCTTTGCTTTGCAGCAAACCCTTATGTCCAGAATCATTCTCAGCCTTTTTCCTAATAGGTCTACTGTTACTATTACTAGTATGGTCATCTGTTATTGAGTGTATGCAACTTGCTATATATTAACCATTGTCATTTCAACTGTGAGTGAGGAAAGAGAAGCCCAGAGAAGTTAGTTAACTTGCCCACAGTCACACAGCTAGTAAATAGGAGAGCCAGGACTTAAACCCAGGCAGTCAAACTCTAGAACTAAACTCTTAACAACTACCCTATACTGAAACATACCCTTTAGAAGCACAGCAAACATGATTACACAGGTGTTCTATAAAAGTAAGACAACATATTTCTATATAATACTACTCTGTGCATATATATAGATATATATAGATATTAATTATATATAATTAATATATATCATATATTAATAAATAGCTATTAAATATATTACTAAAGATTCTAAGGGCAGTTTTATAAAAATAAGATAATGTACTATATATAATATATATATGTGTGTATATTATATATATGTGTGTGTGTGTATATATATATATACCAGTATATTATATATAGTTGACCCTTGAACAACAAGGGTTTAAACTGTGCAGGCCCACTTATAGGTGGATTTTTTTTTTTTTTTAAAGCAGGCTCTATGCCTAGCATGGAGCCCAACATGGGGCTTGAACTCACAACCCCGAGATCAAGACCTGAAATGAGATTAAGAGTTGGATTCTTAACCTCACATGTGGGGTGCCCCACATGTGAATTTTTTGGATAAATATAGTACAATACTAGCAATGTATTTTCTCTTCTTGATGACTTTATTATTATTTGGGTTATTTATTTGACAGAGAGAGGGAGTGCAAGCACAAACACGGGAGGCGGCAGAGGGAGAGGGAGAAGCAGGGAGCCCTATGTGGGGCTTGATCCCAGGACCCTGAGATCATAACCTGAGCCAAAGGCAGATGCTTAACCGACTGAGCCACCCAGGTGCTCCCTTGATGGCTTTCTTAATAACATTTTCTTTTCTCTAGCTTACTTAATTGTAAGAATACAGCATATAATATATATATATACATAACATACAAAATATGTATTAATTAGCAGTTTATGTTATTGGTAA